TGCAGAATAGTCCCTGCAGATGGTACAGTGCTAATTACCTCACGAGTTCTTCCTGTAATGCCTGTCCACGCCTCTGCCCTCAAAAACATCTTCAGAGCAGTACAAAAAAGTTCCTCTCTGTAAGTGCCACTGCTACACAATACCTATGCTGCTTGGCCCCTTTTCATCTTCTGGGCTTGTTTGTCTTCAACCGGGTGCTGTATGTAGACACCTTGTTGAAATGGGTTCTCTCCAACGTAGGTGGGGGGACCAGTGAACTGAGATGGACTTCAGAGTGAACAAATGCTTCTCACATTCACCCAAAGGGAAAACACGCTAACTCAAGAGAGAAGCTTGGCCACGCCTCAATGTCATGCTCCGTGGTTGTCCCACTGATCCCAACTACTGGTGTGTGGTTTCCACGCCTCCTGGTATAATACTCTGCTTTCTGTGAGGGATGTGCTAACAAACACACTGACTGCTGATGACAGGGCACACTAGGACCAGTGGTGTTGCAGAGGCTGCAGCGTTGCTGCAAAATTAGAAGGCCCTGAAGACTTCCCAAGCAGTAGGTAAATGGGTTTCATGTAGTAAGACACAGCAGGAACTCCAGGAACAAATGCCTCCTACCCATAGTAACATACTAAAGCAAGGTGCAGTGAAGAAACTGTTAGAACAAAGATCAATGATGAAGAAAAAGGTGTCTCCCACATGTCTGGTGGCGTGTGGCACTCCTCGTGGCATTAGTCATTTGAAATAGGCCACACATACCATACATGTAAATTTAGTGCAGAACTTACATGGGAGGCTCCTGCGCCACAAGTGCTCTTTACCACAGTTGCTTGTAAAAGAATGTAGTTACACAGCTCATTGCTTTGATTTCAATATTTTTTGGCCTTTGACTACTCTGGAAAATTTGTACAAACCTGATGACCAAAAGTCTTTGGCCTTACCACATATAGCTGTGTACTGTTCTGAGGATTACCAGTTGCTCTGGCATATTAGAGAGTATGGCATGGAATAATAAATGGATTCGAACTTTAGGCTAAAAAGGATAACCTTGCATACAGACTCTCCTAAGCAGTAGACAAGAACAGTATTTCAAAATGCTTACCTTGGCCACATATGCTTCAACCCTGTTTCTTGATGATAATGTGTTTTCTGTTGGGCTTAGGAAGTTTCCTCCAAGACTGAGACTTCTGTTCAGTCCCAAACTGTTTCCAAGATGTCCCAGACCAGTTGAATACAGTACCGGACTTGCAGCCAGATGTCCACTGACAATGCTGCTTGTGATTAAAGATTTGCTTCTGTGGCGCTCCCGAAGGAGCTTAGTGTTGGCCTCTGCAAGTCTCTCATTAGCTCTGAAACATTCAGAAGAGCACAAAGAGTCATCTCTGGCAGTAGCGCTTTTGCAAAGTTACCCTCCACGTCCTTTGACTCTTACTTGACTTCTAAAAGGCAAGGGGATTAAGAGTGTCCAAACCAAGCCCATCCTTTGATCTGAGCTTGTTCAGAGGGCCTGTGCCTAAGAAATCCCACTAAGTGCAAGGAGCAGCAAGTGTCACCTCCATAAGAAGGAACTCTGGGCTACCCTGACCTTCTCAAGGGCAGCTCAAACCTCAGGCCAGCTGCTAAAACAGAAGCCAAGAAAGATCATTCTCATTTTTGATTCACCGAATCCCACTCTGTTCTCCCAGAGAGAACAGAGTATTCAAACAGTAAAGGGCACAAGATTCATCTTTTGTGTCACACGTAAAACAAGCAGACAAGCAGATTAGAGACTGGCAAAAGACTGCCTGTTAAAACAACATTGGCTTGAAAAAGACACCCATAATGCCATCATGGTGCTCCTGTGGTGTTACTGTTGGCACTCTAAAGAGAAAGGAAGACAGGTCTGACGAAGGGAAAGGTCTTGGGGCACTTTCCCCACAAATATGCCCTGTTATGCTTTGATCCATCATGCTGGCCAGATGTAGAAAAGGGATTGGAGAAGGAAAATGCACGAGGAAAAAGCAGTCTGTTATTACCACTCCAAAAAAGCATGGACTTACCTTTCCAGTTTCTTTGCCAGGCTTTTTCTGGTTTTCACTTCCTCCAGATAGAGCTCTTTGTACTTTTCCACCTCTGCCTGCACGGATTCTTTTTGAAAAGTACTGTCTTGTTGGGTATTTTTTATCCTGTCCAGTTCACATTCAAGATCTCTAATTCTGTCTTTTAGCTGGTTTCTCAGTGAAGCATGATGACTGGCTCTGATTTGTTCTAATCTGTCTTGGGAGGCTGCCTGTGCCTGAAGGAGACAGTGTACCTTCAATCACCCCAAGGAAAAGAGAGCTCTCCCCAGCGAAAAATTGTTTTACTCAGAGAGGCGGCAGTGCCTCCTCACTACCAGCAGCAATGAAAGCAGAACCCTGGAGCTACCAGGGTAAATAACACTTTTTATTCAGAAAGCAGTCAAAATTAGCACTATTATGCAAAGCTACTAATGAAAGGACACTCTCTCTGTAGGACAGGTCACATGGAAAAGGATTCCTCAAAGACAATTAGAGGACCCCCCACCTCCACAACTTCAGTGACTTATTGTCTGAGCACTTTCTCCCCTACAAGGACAAAGCAGCATCCCTGTGTCTGGCCATGACAGCTGGAAGTTGCAAAACCCATTCCAGCATGAGAAGTGAGAACCAGACCAGCAGACAGAGCTACCCCCCAAGCACTGCAAACTGGGAATATGCCTTGGGCAGGCTTTTGAGTCATGGACCTGTCGGCACATTACACACCTGTGACAGCACTCCTGCCCAACTATATTCCCTTTTCCCACTGCTTTCAGGAAAGACAGAAGTGCAGTGCTATCACATAGAATAAGGCACCAAAAGTAAACCACTAATAACTGATGACCATAAGAAGTCTATGGACACAGGTGAGAAATTCACTTACTTGCAAAAACAGATTGACTTCTTGTAGCTTTTGTCTTATTTCTTGTCCAGCTCGTTCTTCCACCTCCCTCTTATACTGTTCTATTTGGCTACGATCCACCATGTTAGTGTCTGAATGATGCTGGAGTTTTGCCACCTCCTCTTTCAGCTGGCATTTGTTCTTCTCCAGGTTTTCACACTTTCCACGCAGGGTGGACAGCTCTTCTTGCAAGTCCTGATTTTTGGCTTCCAGCTGCATGCATTTTTTAGATTTCATGTCCAGTTGCTGGGAAAGTTCATCGATCTGTACACAGAAGAAAAAAAAAAAACAAAAAGAAACTTAGAGTGATCTAAAGGCAGTGAATTTTGTGAAAATCTCTAACAGGGGTGGCCATTTGGACTGCTGGCTCAGTACTAGAAACAAAGTGCAACCAGGCTCCTCTTTTGCAGCAAGAACAGCGTTCACATCATTTGAGATAGGATTCCTCAGGTTCCCATCCTTTCTCAGCTCTTCTGGACTAAAATAGTCACTGCAAAGGCAGTGAGCGATTCTACAGTGATGCCCTCCAAAGCCAAGCGTAAGTGTGAAACACGGCCGCTTTGGCAACGAATGCGAGTAACCAGCAGAGAAGTCGGTAAAAGGTGACGTGCCACTACGGAACAGGCAGAGCAGCCTCAAAAGCACTGCTGGGAACAGTCCTTCTGGGTCCCCGCCACAAGATGGGCTGAAAGCGCTCCCCGTGAGCAATAAGTGACAGACTTTTCCCCGTCAGGCACCTCTCCCCACTGTGCCCCGGGCAGCAACAACACCGTTGAGATAGCGCCCTACAAGTGACAGCAGTGTTCCTCCCCTCTCTTCTAGGGAAGGAATTCATCTGTCAGACCCAGACGATGCTGTCACAGCCTCCCTCAAGCTGCAGCCAGGCCTGAGCTGGGCCCCACTGCTCTCAGCCCGTGGATGTGATGTCCTGCTAGGATGGCAGACCTGCCCATCCCTAAGGCCCAGCCGGGGTGTCTGCACTCTTGGCCGACCCCGCTTACTGTCAGCAGACCTGCTGTGCTCTTCTTGCTGAGGGTCCGTGGGACGGTTCCCCGGCCCGTGAGGTCACACCTCCTGCCAGGCTGGCTGCCACTCTTGGCTTGTCTTTCCTGTGCAGGACAGCCTGGCCTGCCTGAGCCCTCGCACCTGCTGCTTTGCCCTGAACTTTTACATCTTTACCCAGACTGATAACTCCCTCAGTATTAGTTATAGTCCTCTGCTACTGGAAGAGCGGATGGAGCATTAAGAAAAGCCCATCAAATCCAAAATGCAGACAAGGAAAACAAATCATCCACATGACAAGAAATACAAGGAAAGTATCTCCCAGGTTTCAAAAGAAATAGCACCACAATCAAAAAAAACCCAAACAATTAGAGCTCACCTTTGGTCTTAATCTACCAACTTCACTGACCATTTCAGAATATCTGTTCTTCATTTCTCCCTGCAAATTAAGCTGGGATTCCATTTCTCTTTCTTCATACACTCTTAGTTTCTTTGTAGCTCTACTCAGAAGTCTCTTCAACCTGCATAGTAAATTAGTTAAGAAAACTGAAACACAGGAATAAATAGCCTTTTCCATATACTCTTATGTAATCAGTGCAGACATGGCTTTCTTCATCTTTAACATGCTTGACACCACCAGGAATTGCTAAGAAAAACCATTATTCCCCATAAATTACCTGAAGTATCTGAAATTCAGCAGAAAAAAAGGAATAAAAGAACTCCTTCTCCCCAGGAGAACTCCAGGGCAACCTGCATAGGCAATTCCTCTGGCAGGTATAGGAAACTATAGGCTTACACAAAGAAGTGCCTTGCAGGAACTAACAGAAGGCTTGAATTTGCCGACAGAATTACCTACACCTATTTTTACAACAAACTTCTATAAAACTGGATTTCTACTCTGGGATACCTCTTCATCATACCAAAAAGCCATACCTCTTAAAGTCTTTCTGCAGTTCTAAGTTTCTTTTCATTTCTTGGTCCAGACGCAGTTCGACTGGGCGTTTCAACTCGACCAGTTTCTTCACTTTCTTTCTTTCACTCTCACACTTTCAAAATAGAAAAGACACATGACACACATAGAGCATAAAAGCAGTATCTAGGTGCAACATATGCCTCTAGCACTCTCTGCAGAGAAGGTGCAGTACCTCTCCTTCTTTGTCAAGTTCCACAGAATGCCAAGGGACAGAATTCCTGAGAACAGTTAAGCACTTTAGGTTTCACATCAAACAGGCTGTTACTGAACAACAAAAACAAATGCCTTCACTGAAGCAAAGGTTACCTTCTTCTCTTTCAAGGAAAAATGTGCAAAAGCTGCTGGAGAATACTTTGGACAGTTCTCTACTCATAGCAGGGATTATGTAGGTATGTATGCTCATCATGGGAGAATACAGATCAATCTAAGGCTTTCAGGGGATCTTTAATGACAAGAAAGCAGAAGAATTTGGTCTCTTGGTATTCATCAATGTTTTATTCCCCTGTATGGTTACCTCCTTCTCTACTTTTAGGGTATTTACGCATGTACTTGCTGCTTTGTTCTTCCATTATTCCTCTACAGAAAAGGAAAAAAGGGAAAGACTGCCCCTTTGAAACTGTCAGCCTTTTTTTTTTTTCCAAGCACTAGTTCATTTGGCCAGAATTCCTTCAAAATATTTTTCTGCTAGGCTTTTAAGCATCCACTAACCTGAAAACATGCCGCTGTTCCTCCATGTGTTGCACTGGAAAAATAAAGCACTTCAACCCAGCCCAGAAACCAAGGGGTCTGAAGGTGAACAGAAGGAATCCAAGAAAAACTGGGGAATTGCAGGCCTACTCGATGTGCTCAACTAATAGCTAACCATACTGGGAACTCTTTCAACAGAACCACCACAGAATTTACACAAAAATACCCAGTTAGCTTTTATTTTCTTCCTGGATCCCCAAATCACAAGATACTCAGAGCATGAATGGCAGGGATAATAAAAAAAACTGCTTATGTCAGAACTCAACAGAAAGGTTAACATGCTACTCCAAGGTACTGGCTAGGTCTCTGGAGAATTTT